GGAAGGTGTAGTTTGTTGAGGATGCTGAAAGTTGTTAAGAGACCCCTATTCTCCCGATAGAGTTACATTGAAGTTCTCCATGAAGAGGAATTGATGGTTAAACCATTCCAGTAATTATATCTGTGTAAGAGAGATAAGGATCCAGCTTGTTCTCCCAATTCAGTTTCTTACCTCTGAGACAAATTACTCCTATCTTAGGATAATGTAGTGTCAACTGTAGACATAGAAATACTGTACCCTTAGGGCAAGATTGCATTACAAAGATTCTCATTTTAACTAACTAATTTATTCGTAATGCTAACACATTTACAATTTGTTTTCTTTTTTTCTTTTTAATTTGCCCTAACCATACCTTAGGTCATCTTCCCCCTTCCCAGTACATGTATGCTAGCTGCTATACTCATTATTTAACAGCATATTTTGCCTAGTCAAGTCACTGGATGTGTGGGAGGGGGAAAAGTCGACTGCAAAGCTTTCATTTTGATACATTCCAAAATAAAAAATATAAAACAGGGGGTTATTTAGCTGCCTTGGCAATATATAGGTTGCCAAATTAACTTGAAACGCTGCTTTGGAAAACATGCAACTGTTTCACATTTTTATCTAAACTTTAATAGCATTCATTTTTTAGCTACAAGTTCTTTCACACCAGCTGCTTTTGAACAAAAAAGGCACCCCAAGTAAGGTTTGTTTCTTTTCTGGAAATATAATGGGCATAGATGCTACTCTATTTATATGCCCTCGCCACTTACAAAGCATAAGGAACCTCTGTTATAAGACATGCTATTAACAGGTTTACTTGCTGCTAAATTCAGTGTATTTTGGTTGGATAGAAAACGTTCCCCACCCCCTTACTAACACTACATTTAAGACAAAACACTACAGCTGAACTCAATGTTCTCTAGACTTTTTGGATCAGAAGAAGAGTTGGGCGGTGGATGGGGGTTCACACCTCCTATCTGAGAAAGTCCTTAAGCTCATCTTTTTGCATGGCTACTTATAGACATGCCTTCCTTTGCTGCTGCTTTGGAAATCTCTCCCCCCATTTCATTATTCTCAAGTAATAAGGATATAACAGGTAATGTCCTGGCAACTGCTACTACTTAGGGGTCTAAAACGGATACATTTTTACTTACCTTTAACATATTGTTACAACTATTACTTTATAGTTCAGAGCAACAGGGGCAGCAGGAATCGTGAGAGAAATGATGTCCAACCCCACAGTTTTTCCACATCATGATTTTTTCCTTAGCGCGAGCGCACACACACACACACATCGCAATTCATGATATATCGCCATGTTGAATATTATGAAACTATTGCCATGATGTGGCCTTCAAACCGATTTCGGATGGTGTATTGATACATCCCATAGTTTGTCTCACAGTTTCTAGTTTCAGGCTCCAGGCTCACCTCAGAAAACTGCCCCCGTATAGGCTCATGTTGATGTGCTGCTTGGCTTCTCCATGTTAGACTCATTAATTCCCGGGATAGAATGGTTCGAGAAAGTACTACTACTACTGCCATCAGAGCACTGTGTATAAACCACCAAAATGGAGGGACCAGTTCACACACACACAAATGACACATTTACCGCAGCCCAGAACAACTGTCAGTTTCCCTCCACCTTTATATAGTAACAAGGCTTTTGCATGAGGCCACATCTAAAATAGCTCCTACTAAACAGAAGCTATGGACCAGTCTCTCCTCCATCTGCATTCAACAAGCTGTCTGCCACCCACTCTGACCCACAATCGGATCATTTTAACCTGATCTTCATTTAGCTTGCAATAAGCATATGGCAGCTGTGGCAGCAAATTCACGACAATTTGAGAAAGGATACAACTGTGGACTGGAGAGAACAAAATAAAGAGATATCATACCAGAACCACAGAGTTATCAAATCAGAGACATTTTCTATTTGAGAGATCACAAGATTAAATGAATGAACCACAGACGTGAACAATTTAAATCATTTCAGCAGTTCAGTCTACTTTGATTCAGTTTATAGTCTAACTCCTGTAGCTCTTTATAAATAAACAAAACAAAACAAAAAGGCAAAGCCTCACAAGGAATGGGTTACTGAATGTTGCTTCCATTCCAGTATATGTGACAGTTCACATCCTGCACCATTCTCTTTCCTGTGCCTACATGGTATATCCAGTTATGACACATACAATGTGCTTTCATTAAAGGAATACCCTTAACTACAGAACAGATGAAGTGATTTACAAGAGGAAATATCAGTGGCGCAGAACTCATAATTCCATGGATTAGCTTGCTGCCAGGTCTATAAGAGCAGCTTTTAAAAAGCCTTCAGGACAGGCTTAAAATTATATGTATTTAAAATAAATACAAAACAGACAAAGTTTCCTTGTTTGTTTGATGTGTGAAATCACAGCTAGGGTGCATTTCCCCCCTTTGGTTATATAGGCTTAGAATTGTGTTTGCTGTCCACATTAAGTCCCCAAGGTGTTAATTAGCCAGATACATTTCTCCATCTAAGTACACAAAACAACCCAAAAACAATCCTGTGAACCAGTTCAGATGCAGGAATTTCAAAGAGCACCAAAGGATATTCTAAATCCCAGTCTCCTGAGGCAGTGGAAGCAAACTGCTGTTTAGTTTTTGCTTAGATCTTTAACTTTAACATGCTGTACAAAAAGTTTAATTATTATTTTTTTGCTTAAGCCTACTCTTTAAACAAGGAGCTGCTAAACAAGATGTTTGGGGAGAGGCAAAGTCTCTTTCTAACCAAAAGATCCAGGATATGGGAGGCTGATCACTCCATAAATGCTATGATTCGTGCACAAAAGCACCTCTTTTTAACAGAGTCAAATAGCCAACATTAGGTCATTTCAGCATTTGGAAAAATGCCCTGTCAATTTCTTTCCTGTATTAACTGCAACTGAGGGGAAAACTGCAGGGTGGGCTAGACAAAGGGAATGCTAACTCTGCTTAGTATCTCAAGATGCATTGTTGAAATGCTTCAGGACTGCCATTTTGTCAGGTTACCTAATTGAGTGCATTGTAATTTCACACTTTACAAGAAGACAACGCCATTGTGCGAGACTGTGAATAATGAAGAAGGAAGGTACAAGAGCATTCCTAACCATCAGCCCATATGCAAAGTCACTAGGACTGTACAGCACTAAGGGATAGCTGCAAAATGATGCTAACCCCAGAAAGTTAACTAACAGCTGGTACCATGCAGAAAGCAGGACGCGGGTGGCGCTGTGGGTAAAACCTCAGCGCCTAGGACTTGCCAATCGCATGGTCGGCGGTTCGAATCCCCGCGGCGGGGTGAGCTCCTATCATTCAGTCCCAGCTCCTGCCCACCTAGCAGTTTGAAAGCACCCTTAAGTGCAAGTAGATAAAAAGTAGCTTTATAGGGGGAAGGTAAACGGCGTTTCCGTGTGCTGCTCTGGTGCCGGTTCGCTGGAGCAGCTTCGTCACGCTGGCCACGTGACCCGGAAGTGTCTTCGGACAGCGCTGGCTCCCGGCCTCTAGAGTGAGATGAGCGCATAACCCTAGAGTCTGTCAAGACTGGCCCGTACGGGCAGGGGTATCTTTACCTTTACCTTTACTATGCAGAAATAAGTCCTACTGAGTTCATTGACGCTTATTAAATAAAGGTAAACCTGTGGCATTGCAAAAAAATGGAAATCATTCCTTTCCACTCATGGGACAATTCACACACTCACATTCATTATAGTCCGACTCAGGACTCTGCTGGTGCAAAGGCATAGAAACTTTTGTTTCCTCTCCTTTCCACTCCAGCCCCACTTCCTCTCAAAATCAGCTCTGGGGGGTTGGGGGACACTCTGCAGGTATACGGCCTCGGTCCCGTATACCTGAAGGAGCATCTCCACCCCATCGTTTTGCCTGGACACTGAGGTCCAGCGCCAAGGGCCTTTTGGCGGTTCCCTCACTGCGAGAAGCCAAGTTACAGGGAACCAGGCAGAGGGCCTTCTCGGTAGTGACACCCGCCCTGTGGAACACCCTTCCACCAGATGTCAAAGAGAAAAACAACTACCAGACTTTTAGAAGACATCTGAAGGCAGCCCTGTTTGGGAAGCTTTTAATGTTTAATAGACTCATAGCTGTCAACTTACAGATTTGAAAATAAGGGATCAGCAACCAAAATAAGGGATTTTAGTCAACAAGCCCCCCCGTCCCATGAGATCGCCGCCCACCATTGTATTCAACCAGCTCCTTTCCTTTCCCCCCACCATGTGCCCCTGCTCCAGACAGACCTTTTCCCTGGCAAGGGTGAGTGGGCCGTAGATGACGTATCTATCCGATTCCGAGCACAGGTATGTTCAACTTCTGAGCCCCTCCGAGCCAAAGGCAGAAAGCCCAGCCAGCAGCCAAACAAAGCCTCAAGCGGTGGTTCCCACAGTGCAGCAACCCGGCAAAGGGGAATGCAGCAAGGAAAACCACCGTCACCTCTCTGCTGGGAAGCGCTGAGCAAAGGCGAGTTCCCAGGCAACGTGGCCAATTTGATCGGCACAAGGCATGCAAGCTCCACCCCCCCAGTTGTTCTTAGACTCCTTATTGGGTGAGCAACGCAGCCAAGCAACACAGTTGGGGCCTCCCTCCTCCCTGGCCGACAGGGAGGGAGGGAGAGGAGCTGCTTCCTTTGAAACCCGGGAAATTTAAGGGACATCATCAATAAGGGACAGCAGCGGGACACGGCGCTGGGATAAGGGAGTTTCCCACCAAATAAGGGACGGTTGACAGCTATGAATAGACTATTGTATTTTAATATTCTATTGGAAGCTGCCCAGAGTGGCTGGGGAAACCCAGCCAGATGGGCGGGGTATAAATAATAAATTATTATTATTATTATTATTATTATTATTATTATTATTACTTTGGAGCAGCAGGAGGGCAGCCATGTTTTCTCCAAACCAGTGCCCCTAAAAGGATTCTACATCATGACATAACATCACTGAAAAGGAGCACTATGGGTGAGAAATGACCCCAGAGCAGCAAGGAGCCATATATATATATATATATATATATATATATATATATATATATATGCATATATGGCATATATATATGCATATATGGCAATGAAGCCTTTGCTACTGGGCATTAAATACAAGTGCTTCAAGTGCTATTTTAAAGAAATGTCTTCAGCCCATGAAACTGCATTGGTTTTCACCCCTCATTTCCTCCCCCTCCATAAATATGTCAATATAATTCCCAATAAACATTAGGAACATAAGAAGCTTCAGGAGGCGAGAGGGCTCTTGTGCTTGAATTCTGCTTGCGTGTTTCCCGCAAGCACCTGATTGGCCACCGTGCAAACAGGAGGCTGGACTAGATAGGCCATTGGCCAGGCCTGACAGGCACTTCCTCTTAGATCATTGGTCTATCTCACTCATCATTGTCCATACTGAGTGGCAGCAGCTGCCTGGGTGTTTTTGTGGGGGGGGGGATTCTCAGGCACTTTACTTGGGACGTTCTGCATGGGACCACTGAGCTACAGTCCTTCTCCAACGTTCTACATTAGTACTAGCTGGAGGCATTATTCAAGCTGGGATGGCTGCCTCAGCTATGTAAGTTATCCCACCTCCATGCAGAAGCCAAACCTGTTGTTGTAGCTTTTTAGTAGCTTATACTGGGTATCCATGCCCTCCAACATTTCTCAGATGAAAATAGGGATGTCCTATTCTATTATTATTATTATTATTATTACAGTCATACCTCGGGTTACAGACGCTTCAGGTTGTGCATTTCTGGGTTGCACACTGCGCTGAACCCGGAAGTACCAGAACGGGTGACTTCCGGGTTTTGGCGCTCGCGCATACGCAGAAGCGCTAAATTGCGCTTTGTTCATGCGCAGAAGCACTGAGTCATAACGCGGCGCTGCAGGTTGCAAACGTGCCTCCCGCACGCATCACGTTTGCAACCCGAGCATCCACATTATTATTATTATTATTATTATTATTATTATTATTATTTACTATTTATATCCCACCCATCTGACACTCTAGGTAGCTTCCAACATCTATAAAACCATAGTAAAATATTTAGCATTTAAAATCTTCCCTATACAAGGCTGCCTTCAGATGGCTCGAGGCTCAGTAACTCCAGACCCTCCAACATTTCTCCAATGAAAATAGGAGCATCCAGGGAAAAGCAGGACATTTGGGGATCAAATCAGAAAACAGGACAGTTTCTGTAAATCTGGAACTGTCTCTGGAAAATAGGGACACTTGGAAGGTCTGCTTTTTGAACCCTAGGACTATGCAGATCCTGCTGCTACCTCCCTGTGGGATGCCCCATGTGGCATACATGAGTATCAGTACCGAGATAATATGTTCACTGTTATTATATAGAATAAGGCAGAGATCCCATTGCATCAGGGCATACAGTTATGTCATGGTGTGGAAGTGTTCACTACAGTGGTGCTTTGTAAATCTCATCGGTCTCTTTAACCCACGGTTTTGCTTTCGGGTTTTTGCCAGGCAAAAAGAGTTGCTTAACTCAGTGTGTGCATCTAATTGGCTGTTACTCAGTAAAGTGGCTAACCCCCATGTCTAATTAATCTAATTGCATAGCTTAACCCTAATTAATATAATTACATTTGCCTTCTTTCCATTCTGTTAAATATCCGGAGGCTTTAAACACATAGACACACAGCCAAAGCCCTGTGATTGTTGTTTGGTTTGCGCAATGGCTGGTATCAGTGGGAGACGAGAATTTGATGGTGGGTATAAAGGTGTGATCCTTTGGTGTGTTTGATTCCTGAAATCCACATCAGACATGCTGAGCATCTGCTGGTGTTCTTCTCATGGGCCTTGCAGTGAGTTGACTAAGAATGGTGCTGTTTTACAAAGGTTAAGAACCGACCTCAGGTCAGGTCAGACAACATCAGACCATAGCACCCTGGTCTCGAATGCTGTTTTCATCACTGTGTGTTTACTGCTCAAATGGCTGAAAGAGGAATACGTGATCTCCCCTTCAACATTTCCTGTCTGTGTAAAATATCTGGTAGTAGACACCCAGGGTGGATCTAAACACAGGGGGGGGGGGACCCACTATAAATAAGTCAGAAATGATTTATTTATTACAGTTTTAACAACAACAACAAATTCTATGGACAACTGCATTTTAAAATTTCTTGCCATGTGGTGCTGCATGTTTATAGCGTATTCAGTTCGCTGTTTCTTTACTAACATAGGTGAGTCCCCCCAAGTGTCCCTATTTTCCAGGGACAGTCCTGGATTTACAGAAGCTGTCCTGGTCTCTGATTTGATTCCAGAATGTCCTGCTTTTTCTTAGGACACCCCTATTTTCATCGGAGAACTGTTGGAGGGTATGGAGTTACCGAGCCTCAAGCCGTCTGAAGGCAGCCTTGTATAGGGAAGATTTTAAATGCTAAATATTTTGCTATGGTTTTATATATGCTGGAAGCTACCTAGAGTGGCTGGGACAATCCAATCAGATGGGTGGGATATAAATAGTAAATAATAATAATAATAATAATAATAATAATAATAATATAATGATGCCTTCTCTTACTATTATAAGTTGGCTGTTCCTCAAGGTTTCATATAAAACAGATTTAGGATTTACTCACCTTTTGTTTGGACTGGATTTTGGTAGTGGCTTTGCCATAAACTAACTCTCTCTCTCTCTCTCTCTCTCTCTCTCTCTCTAACACACACACACAGAGAGAGAGAGAATCCCAAACTTCTAGAAAGCAAATATCAGAAGCACCTGGGCAGAGCAAATCATGCATCTTTCACCAGATCAATTCTCTCCAGCTTCAGATTAGAATTTTATCTCAAAGATTCCCCCCCCCCTTGCAGCAGTACAGAGAAATGGGTGTTAAAATGCTAGCAAGCTGCTCAGGAACCAGTTTTCTTTCACGAAATCAAAAGCTCAACGATTGCCATGGCCCTGAAGCAGGGAGGGTGACTGGCTCGTTCAGCAAATCAGAATTCACTTGCCATTTCAGATTAAAAGTGGGGGTGGGGTGGATCCTGATGTAGAAGAGAGGAACATGGTCCAGGGCTTTGATCAGTATTTGTGAAGCCCATCAGTGAAGTTTCAGGAAGCCAGAAAGAAGACAGTATCCCCTTTTGGAAGAGATGAAACAATACAGAGGTGTAGCTCTCAGGTCACTTACCTGGGAGCAAACCCATTGAACTAAGTGGAACTTACTTGAGAGTTATGACACACGTGCTCCAATTTAACATATATTTTACACTGGCCTGCCTGGAACTGTGTGGCTATTTTGCTATGAATTGCACAGCTTTGGGATAATGAGAATGGATTTTTGAGAAACAAACCTGAAGCCTCTCTTTCCATCAGAACAAATTCATCTTTTTTATTTTCAGTTTCAATGCTAAAGTATTATTTATTATATTACTAGGATCCACTGCAATCAGTGAGACCTACTCCCAAGTAAATATACTTTAGTCTTTCTGCCCAGTTAATGTCCTATAAAACATGCAGCCCAAATTGGGCTGCATCACAATGTAGTTCAAATGGAATGTGTGTTAGGAAGTAACAAAGCATACTGAATAATTTTAATCATGAGAAAAACTTGCACAGATTTAGACAACAAGCTGGTAAACATCTACATTTTTGTGTGTTTGGTCTCTAAAAGCCATAAAGCATCCACTGTGGTTCATTAATTCATTCCAGCAGGATTTCATTAATGGAATTGTGAGGCATCACATTACTAATCTGGTCCGTTTCCCTAAAATAACCTATTTGATGAGATTAGGGATTTACGTGCGCACTCACCGTCGGCAAACTTTATCTTGGACTTGCTATGGCATCCCGAGAGAGGTCTCAGGGGGGCGTTATTTACTTTCATACTAATTATAATCAATAATTTCACTACCCCCCTGTTGTGCTGCTTCAGGCCAACTTAATCTAACAGATGGGTCAAGCGCCAAGAGACATTTTTAAATACAGAAAACGTTGTGTTGTGGGATTCGGATATAAACCACATGCCAAGTTCTAATTTCTCAAGGCTTTTACAAGGAAACTTTGCATGTCTAAATGACTACTAATGATGTGTACTTTGCTACAGTAATTAAACAGCCAGCCAAACATGCCCGTTTTGTGCTTCACATGAGATTTCTTACAGACTCAGCTGCAGAATATTCCATATTCCATACTTGAACCTCCTATTTTCCTTTGTCAGTTTTCTTTGCAGAAAAAGCAGCTGAGGCAATGGGGCTAACTAAAGGGGGCCATAGTCACAGGACTGTCCAAACCAGAGATCGTATATTTTAAAAACACTTATGCAGGTTTCAAACTTCACATCCTTTAATATATCTTCTACAACATATAAATACTGTTCACCTGACATATCCAGGGTCAGGGTATATATATGGGGAGAGCAGTAGTGCGAAAGCAGATGCCATCTCCCAAACTACATATGAGGGAACTTCCATGTGCACAATATTTGAACTCATGGAACTGTATTCCTTTTTATTTCAAAAGCAGCATGTACTGTTTTTCCATTAAAATATTCAAAACAGGTCTAATTTTTTTATCTCCTAATAAAAACACAAGAGAACAAATTTGCACAGCAGTACCAGTGAGAAGCAATCAAATCAAACTAAACACAGCAACCATCAATCATCCATTTAGAAGCTTTTTGTTAAGTTGTGGGTGAACATATCAGCTCTTGTTTATTCACAGGCCAGAACAGAACAGAACAGAACTGAACTGAGTTGAAGGGTTCAGTCAACCTGTTTATATAGAGCTCAACTACAAGGCAACAGTAACAACTTTCTGTAACTATCCAATCACTGAACATCACTTTCAATTCCTTATTTGCATATGTGGACATGAGTGAAAACTATCTACAGTATCCCCCTGCTGGCCCAGGGTGGGAACTTCAGTACATAACACTTTTCATTTTGGTTAAAATTTATTTCCTTCCTTCCTTCCTTCCTTCCTTCCTTCCTACCCCACTTTTGAAAAGCAGCTTTATAGCCTGGAAAAATAAGAATCTCCTCCAAATGTTAGTGCCTGCTGAACTTGCTCAAGAAGTGAGGTGCAGCCACTGAAAAGACCCTCCTCAGAGAGTGACCTTTGAGTAATGCTGGCTAGCCAATCCCAATGCAGAAATTAGGATTTTAGGTCAAAGGGTGTCAGAAGACTTGAAGGCATCACTCGTTTTAGAAATTAAGCACTTCTTGTGAGTTGTGGTTGTTCGGAGAAACAAAACGCAATCAACAAAGTTATCCATTCTCTCAATTTTATATGCACCCTACATATCTTAATTGCATGGATAGCTCAGTCGGTTAGAGTGTGGTTCTAATAATGCCAAGGTTGCAGGTTTGATCCCCATAAGGGGCAGCTGCATATTTCTGCATTGCAGGGGGGGTTGGACTAGATGATCCTCAGGATCCCTTCCAATTCTAGTAGTCCACAAAATGTACACACTCCTTCTAAAAACAGATTCGCAAAACTGAGAAAGATTCTGACTTCCACCCTTAGCTTAGCTTCATCTGCAGCCTATAATACTGGCGGGACAGTATTTCTTCACTGAGATTTACAGCTTCCAACATGAAAAAGGGATTAATGCCCAAAGCTTGCTGAATTTTCGGATGTGCTTCTTTAAGATTCTTAGCCTAACTTCCAGGAAGAATGCTCACAGGGAAGAGGAGAAAAAGAATGCCTGCCTGAAACCGTATTGGACTTTGGAGGCCTGAGCATACTACAACATGGACATGCACACATTTTCTTCATACGTTTTCTGTTCCTGATGCTTTAGGCTGCGACCATAACCCCACTTGCCTGGTGAAATTCAATAAGACTTTAAGATACTTTTCCGTGTACATGATGAGGTTTTTTACTTTAAAATAAGCTTAGAAATTGGGGGGAGGGGGATCTGTGGTGGCCAAGGGATGGAAAGATCAGGAGGCTCCAAAAATAACAGATTGACAAATCAAATTACAGGAATTGGTGGTTCAAAAATACAATAATAGTTTTGACTCCGTGCTAGCATTTGAGTGATAAAGGAACTAAAAGGATTTATTATGTTTTCAGAATGTATTAGAAAAATTACAGTGGTGCCTCGCAAGACGAAATTAATCCGTTCCGCGAGTCTCTTCGTCTTGCGGTTTTTTCGTCTTGCGAAGCACGGCTATTAGTGGCTTAGCGGCTATTAGCAGCTTAGCGGCTTAGCGGCTATTAACGGCTTAGCGGCTTTACGAAAAGGAAACAAACTCGCAAGAACTCGCAAGACGTTTCGTCTTGCAAAGCAAGCCCATAGGGAAATTAGTCTTGCGGAACGACTCAAAAAACGGAAAACTCTTTCGTCTAGCGAGTTTTTCGTCTTGCGAGGCATTCGTCTTGCGGGGCACCACTGTATATAGAAAGGTTTATTGTTTTGTGTACATTCAAATGTAAGATAAATGTAAGATAAAACATATGCAAAGGGACTTGACAGGAAGTCAAAGTTGAAGAAAAGATTTTGGAAGATAAAAGGGGAAAAAATATTTACTTTCATTATTATCATTTTCTGTGCAGGTGTGGGTGTGTGGGTGTCTGCACATATGTGTGTTGTTGTATGCAATGTTTGGGAGGAAATAACAAATAACAAACTAAATATCGATGTATGTAATTTTTATTTCTTAATTATATTTAGTGGTAGTATGGCTGTACTGTTTTTTTGTAACATAAAACCATTCAAAAAAAAATATTTTTTAAAAAATAGAAATTGGGGGGGCATCTTATACACAGATAGTTCATATGTGAGACAGGCGATTGGTTGCAGCAGCGAGCAGGAGCTTTTCAGTGGCAACTGGGTGGGCGATTTTTGTCTGTGGATTGGCTGTCGCTGTGGCAATTGTGCTTGTGATTGGCTGCTGGTGGTGGCGAGTGGGCAGATGCTTGTTCTGTGATGGGTGCGATTGGCAGCTTTTTTGAGTTGGGCGAGTGATTTTCGGCATTCACCGCCAAAAAACGCTCAGCAACTCTGGGCCATCTCTCCCCATTTTCTTAAATTGGAGTCCCCAAAAGTATTATACATGGGGGAGTCTTATATACTGAAAAATACTAAGGCAGCATGGTTAGGATTGTGCTGTTTCCCCCTAAAGTACTGTACTTATTCTAGAATACAGTAAGTAATTGGAAAATCTGCTGCTTTTAGAGGAGAAATTTGTTGTTGTTTAGTCGTTTAGTCGTGTCCGACTCTTCGTGATCCCATGGACCAGAGCACGCCAGGCACTCCTGTCTTCCACTGCCTCCCGCAGTTTGGTCAAACTCATGCTGGTAGCTTCGAGAACACTGTCCAACCATCTCGCCCTCTGCCGTCTCCTTCTCCTTGTGCCCTCCATCTTTCCCAACATCAGGGTCTTTTCCAGGGAGAAACAGGCAGTGCCATATGTTTTGTGTTGTTCCAACACTCTACCCAAAACAGAATACAGGTAAAAAAGCAAAAAGTTTCCTCCCCTTCAAAAAGACCACCCCACCCAAACAAACCACCTCAAACAACAATTTTATTTTAAAAGGAATTGCAAACTGGGAGGGGCAATATACCTTGGTGGGCATCTGTGGTGGATTCCAAGGTGTTCACAAATGTTACATCAGAGCATGGCATGTTTGGCAAGACAACTTCCATAAACATCACAGGTTTTGATATAAAAGAGAAACTAAACACCACACAGCACTGAATGACAACTTCCCATGGCACATACTGGCTCATGCCGCACGTTCTCTTTGCTGCCGCTTCAAACAGCCTTTTGATAATCTGTTCTGTCATCTATATACATAGTATTAAGAATCCACCATGCTTTGACATCATGAACATCTGGTTGGGTGCCTTCTCGGAAATAATTTTCCAAAGAACTGGGGGGAAGGGAAAAGTCAAGGTGTAATAAGTATGACAGGCCTTTGATCTTTTCACCATAGAAAACCAGATGCCCAATAAATAATTTAATAGAGAGGGGGAAGGGATAACTGCACATCTTCATGGATTTGCCCTTCTTTGGTGTAGAGTTTGACTTCATTCAGGATTAGAAGAATACAGGTTGCTTGTGCTGATTAAAATATATGACTCCAAGGCAGCATTAAGGGGCTGATTTAATCCAATTAAAAGCAAGCAGCTTTCCCCCCCAGTAATGAGCGTGAATATGCCAGCCCCTCTGCTTGTACATACGGACAGGTTTGCAAGCAACAAAATTAATGTATACCAGATGAAGAGAGGCCTCCATGTTATTAATTTATTCTTCTGTGTCTGGGTTCTGGTGACTATATGGTAAACAGCAAAATATGTCTCGTGTAATCTTACAGGATGCCAATCCCTGTCTTCCTGAATGCATGAATGATATTGATAGTGACTTTTTAGGTAAGAAAAAAAAGGACCATTTCCAATTTCCATGCAGATTAATTGTCATGTGCTTTCATCTTAGGCTATTTATTTAAATCTATCCTCCCCAAATCAAACATAAATATCTATGGCATTTAGTTAAGCTTACACTAAACAAGCAAAATTGCCACAGAACATGTTCAGCAGTGCCAGAGAACCTGGTGCCAAAGGCGTTCTATATTGGAGAAGGAGATGAGATTTCTTCACACTCAGTCTTTTAACCAGCAAAATGCATAAGCAAATGCCAAGGTTTTAGTGTGATTGCTAAGGCTGCTTCAGACACAATAGGAAAGATGTCGTGTGAGCAGTGAAGATTCTGATCATATCTTCCATCCAGCCGTGGTGATAATAGCCAGGGAGGCGTGCAGTGGACTGATGGAACGGTAATGTAATGTGAGGCTTCACAACACACATTTAAAGCATGTAGCTTTCCCTCAAGGGTGATGGGAACTTTAGGTCTGTGAGGGGTAAACTATAGTTCCTGGGTTTATTTTGGGGAGGCCATGGGCTTTTAAAGTGCTTTAAATACATGGCATGTACACAGCCTGACTCTTTGTGAGTCTACAAATACTGCAAAAGAAAACTTGGTCAAGAGGGTGAGATAACATGGAAGATAAAGTGGGAATAAAACATAAACATAAGAGTTAGTAGCCACTAATACTATGCACACCAGCATAGGGATTGGCACTAATTTCTCCATAAATTAGGGGGGTTAGAACAAGCTTTCAAAAGGAAGGAGGGGGAATTACAAGGCAGGCCTCCGACTCCTTGTAACGTAAATTGTGCTTCACAGACTACTGTGTGTTTCAGAAAAATATGTCCCAATTCTCACAGCGACCTAGGAGGCATGATCAAGGACAGCTCACTCCAAACTGTGGAGCAAACTAATTCCTTCCCCGTCCTTCATTCAGAGAAAATGAAAAACCAAAGGTCACGAAATCTAGAGATCTGGAAACTATCAATAGAATTAAAATAGCAGTTTGCCACATTACATAGCCACATGAGCGATAATTACAAGTTGAAAGAGAATCTGAAGAAAGAAAGAAAAAGAAAGATATTGAAAGCATCTTTATCCAATCATAGTAAAACAAAACAAAAAAGTTCATAGAATCACTTGTGAAGTGAGGCTAAATCCAACCCTGGCTTTCTGAAAATCACAGATACTGACATTTCAACATATAGTTCAAGGTTAGGCTCTTAAATCAAATTAACTTTATGACTATAAAATAATTCCTAGTAGACAGGAAACATCCATTGCACAAAATAGAGTGCATAGTCAAGCAATTTAACAGATGGCACTTTAAATCAGAGTTAGAGCTGCAAAAATATACAAATCCCTTCAGATTAACGAAAAGGGGCTGTGTGCTCGTCAAAACCTACAGTCTACTCAAATGTGGTTCATTGGTTCCTACATAGCCATCAAGAATTTTGAGGAAAACTTTTCAAATATTCCCTTGGCTGTTTGCTTCTTGGTAGTACCCTTCTTTGTATACCTGCCATGTAAAAGAAGTTTGTTAATCCTTTTACCTCTGATGTTCAGGGGTAGGTGCCAATCCTGATTGATTGATTGATTGATTGATTGATTGATTAGAGTTATTCCAAGCCCCTGACCATAAGCTCCCAGAGCAGGTTACAACAATAAAACACACAACTGCAAAAGCCATTGAAACCATTACCATTCTAGAGCAAGTGAAATCATTCAACATGGAACAGAACAAGGTAGGAACATAAGAAGGGGCTGCAGGATCAGGCCAGCAGCCCATCTAGTCAATGTCCTCACAGAAGCCACCTGAGAAACCCTCAAGACAGACCCAAGCCCAAGAGCACTCTACCTTCCTGTGATTTCCAGCAACAAACATCTGGAAAAGACAAGATTTTATGCAGCTTCACTTGCATAAATACTAGGCCACTTCTCAGAAAACCAATGGGGCTCAGCACAAGGAACACAATACAGATGTGAAGTACCTGTTTCGATGGACAGCTCCCACTG